TCTTTCTTTCTGTCTGTCTTTCTTTCTGTCTGTCTTTCTTTCTGTCTGTCTTTCTTTCTGTCTGTCTTTCTTTCTGTCTGTCTCTCTCTTTTTCCTCAAACCCTGCAGAACAATTCGTTGAGAAATCCTCCTGCGCTCAGCCTTTGAGTGATTTATCCAGCCTGGACCCTCACGGGGATTTTAGCAGCAGCCCTTCTTCCCTGTGCACCGAGCCCCTCATCCCCACCACCCCCATCATCCCCAGCGAGGAGATGGCCAAAATCTCCTGCAGCCTGGAGACCAAAGAGCTCTGGGACAAGTTTCATGAACTGGGTACCGAGATGATCATCACCAAATCCGGGAGGTAAGGCTGGGCAGCCCCGGGGTTTCCCTCTGGAAAAGGGATTTTTCTTTCGATAAGCGGCTTTGGACAGGGGAAAAAAAAAGACAAAGTTACCAAAACCCCGCAGGTTTTTTTTGTATCTGGAGAACAGCACGGCTGGGTTGAAGGGAGAAAGAGGAGGGTAAAGCCCCATATTTGCCACAGCCCCTCGGTGTGCCCAGTCCGGCGGTGCGGTGCGCGGAGCCGCGCTGGGGCAGAGGGAGAAGCGGACGGCGCCGGTGCGGTGCGCTGCGGCGGGGCCGGCTGAAATCCATCCGGGGCGTCCTGGAGGCAGGGAAGAGGTGTTGTTTCCCCAACAGTCAGGTTTGTGGCTAAAATCCCGCAGTGATTTTGAGGCGCTGGGTTGGTCCAGACCGAGGGAAAGGTGGGGTCGTGGGGAAGTGGTTCTGTCAGAGCTTGGTTTGTTCTTTTTCTCGGTTGCAAAAATGCGCTAAAGAATTCCAGGCTTTCTTCTTACCTCAAATGATATCGTTTCTTCAGTAAAGCTTGAGGGATTTAGGTCAGTCAAATGCAGTCCAGAGGAGCCAAATGTCTTTTCGAGTTTTTTTTATCTCCAAAGTTACTTTTTATTAACGTAGTTGCCTGAAGATTGTTTTTCTAACTGATGAGCTCTATCAGTATATATATATTTTTTAAAGATATAAAACATGCTATTTCAAGTTCAAAATTTGCTTAAAAATTTTACTTGAAAGTTCAATAGTTTAAAACAAATATTATTTAACTTTATTTCTGGTCTGCACAATAACCTTGCATTTTAAAACTGTGTTTTGTCAAAAGTTTAGTACAGAAAAGAAATGTTTTAGTTTTGAAAATTTTGTTCAAAAGTATTGTGAGCAGGCTTAATAAAACACTCATCTAAAAGACGTGTGAATAACAATGGAAATAATTTCCGGAATATTTCCCTTGCAGTAGTATGGATCCTGCAAAAAATAAATAATTAAAAGAAAATCAAAATTTCTAATTATCTATGTACCTTAGCTATAACTGTTTTCTGCAGTCGTTGTGCACTTTTAACTAACAGGTAAATAGACTATTTCTCCTTTACTTTTTTCATTTTTACCATACTTTTCCTTTTGCTTCCCAAATCTTGTTTTGATTTCAAGTTGCTTTTTCTGTCTCCTTATTAGAGAGACACAAGATTTAACTCCCATCATGTGGAAGCAAAATCAACAGATGCTTTAAGTTTTCTCAGGGAATTTAAATATAATTCTTACTTTTAGCAGCTTTTCAGATCCTCCCTTATTTCTGTTCTCTGCCTAAATACGTGTTTTCTGATTTGCCTTTTTTCAGGAGAATGTTTCCTACGATCAGGGTTTCCTTCTCTGGAGTCGATCCTGAGGCCAAGTATATTGTGTTAATGGATATAGTTCCTGTGGACAATAAGAGATACAGATATGCCTACCACAGGTCTTCCTGGTTAGTGGCTGGAAAAGCTGACCCTCCTCTCCCTGCAAGGTTTGTAAATTTTGTTGCTGGTCTTTTCTCTTCACTTTTTTCCCCCCCTTCAAGAAATATCTTGTATTATTCTTTCCCTTCTGTTTGCAAATAGTGCTCTAAGATTTTGAGTCCATGTTCAACAAAGATGGTTACAAAACTCTGATTACGGTTTTTGTGTTGCAGAATCTGGACTCAAATCTTTGCTTAAGGTTTGACTTACATGGAATATTCTAAGACATGCAGAATTTGGTTAAAAGTTATTTTATACTTATTGTTTTAATTTTTTTTTTTTTTAATGAAGCATGTCGTGATTCAGATAAGAAAACTTAAAAAAAAAAAAAGTTATTTTTTTCTCTTGGATTTGCTCCCCCAATATTTGACCTCACTATTTAAAGCAATCCAGGCACCACCAGCCAAGCAAAAGTGTAGAAATAAATAGTAGCTCATTGCTGTTTATGCTTGAAGTTATATTATTTCTGCAATATATCCAGCATTTGCTAACCAATAGTTTTATTCTTGATTTAATGATCTCTTAGGCAGCAGGCAAAGTACAGATCAGTTCCTCGGCACAGTTACTTTTCTTTTTGTTAAGAAATCATGACATATTCTGAGACATTGGGGAAAAAATCCCTCTGTGAAATCAATTCTCTAAAATAAATTCCCTTTTCTCTACATAAACAAATGCTTTAGAAATTCCCAAAGTAGTGCCATTAATGTAATTAATGATGGATTCCTTTAAGCATTGGGCAACTGCTTGAGGCTGCAGCACTGGGCTGTACAGTGGGAGGGCACTTCAGAGGAAACCCACACTTCATCGTATTCAGCCCAGTACTTCTGTACCTACTTCAGTCCCCAAGTCCAGTAAGACTGCAGCACATGTCGAAAGGCTTTGCTGAGTCAGAGCCAGAGATATGGAAATAATGCAGATGTCTCTCCGGCTTCAAAGAAAGTTTTTTGTGGTGGGCTCCGTGCAGGGACACAGATCTGCTCCAGGTGGCTTAGCCCAGGGTTAAGAACTTGCTTATTACAGAGACAGAAATTATAAGTGAAACACAAGAATGGAAACAATTTTTTTGTGTGTGTGAGTAAAGGCACCAAATTCTGTGTGATTTTCTTATATAAATAGTTGAAATGAAATCTTGGTGACTGGCGATCTCTGGAAGGCTGCTCAGGGAAGTAAACAAACAAAAAGTGCAAGCAGAGAAGCTGTGATTAAAGACAGCAACCTAGGAGTTATGTCTGCTTTGTTTTCATGGCCAAAAACTCCTTCTTGCAGTGTGGTTAACGTCTGAGGGCTTCATTTGACGTATTGTAATGGGCACTGATCAAAACCCAAAGAAAAAACATAGAGCTGGCTCCAAAGGAGTCAGCATCACAAGAAGAAATAACAGAAGAACAGAAACAGTTTCAAGTCAGGGTTTCTCCCTTCTTATTTTTCTGTTCACGCCCCTTTTGGGATACCTTTAAATAGATTTCTAATTCACACTCTCTGGCATAGACTTGCTCAACAAGGAAATACTAAAACGTGAGACAAGAGACTGGAATTATTAGCAATTGCCCTACTGAGTATTGGATAAAACCTTCTTGAAGTTTAATATTTATTTTTATTGTACTGTGGTAACTTTTGGGAGTCCTCAGCAGATCAGTGCCCCTGTGTGAAATGCCTATTTGTGCTGTTCCATTTCCAGCATCCTTTGCCCCCATATATGAATGTATACCTTTCCTGCTTCATTTTCAGGATGCTTAAACAGACTATTAATCAGAACACAGGCAGAAATAGCTTTCTCTTTGTATGGACAGTACTGACATATACATTCATGCACTTTGTCCTCCTTATAAATCCCTTTGGTGAGAAAAAGAATATCAAGAGATTCAGTGTGCCAGTGTTTGCATTGCCGGTGCTTCTACTAGAGCGTTAACCCATCTTTTCAGGTGGGAGGCCTCAGTCTTACTTGAAGAGAATAAAAGTAGTTCTCCTCCCATCTTGAAATGAGTTTGATCCTGCTCCAGTAACAGAAACACTTAACAAAGTTATCATTTCTTGTCCTCCAAACACAGTCTTTTAGCTCTCCCTGCTTGAGGAGTGTCAATGAGAGGTGTGAGTGTGTTTAGCGTCGGAGCACTGGTAACAAGGTACTTATTCCCCACATACATCGCTGCCAGCATCTGCCCGGGGCCAGTGACATCAGGGGAATGATTCAGAAGTTACGTTTTGACTGATTGTAAGACTTTGCTGGATTGAACAAGTTTGATGGTCTTACTCTTTCCATTATAAAAATAACTTTCACCACTATGACAGTTTTGTAGGTTTTTTTTTGGTTTTTGTTGTGTTTTTTTTTTTTTTTTCAAATTAATAAGTATTCTGTGATTCTGTTTGAAAGATTAGCCCCTCAAGGAACTTTCTATTAAAACCAGTTTTACCCTTGTCTTCCTGCTGTCAATGTTGAAGACAAGTTTATGTTGCAATGAACATGTTTATGTTGCGACAAACACTTAAATAAAAGTACTTTCCAGAAAGTCTATTGTAAATCTGCTGAAGTGGCATCTGGGCATAGAGTTCCTATGCAGTATTTTGTGTTTGTCTTTCACATTGTTAAGACTGTGTGAAACATCAGTTCAGTAAGTTCCATCATGTACTTTTTATTTGCTCTTCTTCCTTTTTTGCCTCATTTCTTTCCCTCAAAAGCTTGTTACTATATTTTTTCAAACTGTATTTGTCAAAATAATTTGTTTAATGAACTTAGTGTTTACAGACTTATGGAGAACTCTAGGCAGGAAACCTTTGAAAGATATTATATTTTGAAAAATATTTGAGACATTATGGTAAATAAAAGTAGCATGCATGGGGTTTGTGGGGGACCTAACCATCTGTTAAACTAAATAGAGGGAGTGCAGTGTTGCATTCCAAAATACACAAGAAAGAAGCAGTACCCAAACTTTGCGTATATCATGAAACATTATGTACTGCGTAGCAAATTCACACCCCAATATGTCTCCTAAATCCTTTGTGAATCAAAGCGAGGAGCCCCTCGCATCTGGCTGGCCTTAGGCAGCAGATCTCAGGCAGGCTTCTGGGAGAGCCTCGTCTGCTCTGCTTTCTGCTATGCTGAAATGAACACATTTATCTCACTGGCCTGTTTGTTTGTGTGCACTTGTGGTCTTGCCAACAACTTCTGCTTCAGAAATCACTGTATCAAGTGTTCAATCCTCTTTTTTCAGGTGTGCAATCTTGGGCTGTGGGAGAAGTGTGGGAAATAGGTGTAGCTCACCAGGTAGAACCCTATGCTGCAGTGGGATTGTTGGGGTGTAGCAAATGGGTAAAGAAAAGTAAGGTCTATTACTGCTTTTCAGTAACTGAAATTCTAGTGCCCATCCTTCAGAGACTTTCTTCTTAGCATTCTGCTTACAGGCACTTGGTAGTTTTAAAGCAGTGCCAAGCATTAACCATTGATGGTGTAAAACAATTGTGCTCAACCTTTCAGCACAGGGAGGTCTGTACTTATTCCCCACACATATTTGAAATCCTTTAGCTTCTTGGTCCCAAACCTTGCTGAGTCTGGCACTCTGTGATCACAGTAAACATTATTAGCTATCCAGACACTCAGAATTAGGAGTCAGGCTCCAAAAAGGAGAAAAAAAAAAAAAAAAGAGAGATATCACAAGGCTGGCTGAAAAATTGCAGGGCATGTTTGGGATTCTCTTTGTTTTGCCTTCTCCAAATCAGAGCTCTAAATATTGAAATGTCCAGTTTCTTAGAGGGAGGCATACTTAGTTTTCATGAGAGCTAAGATTCTTTTGACATAACATGATTCCAGGTCTTAGGATTTCAGATACATCATCGTTTTTTATGAGCTTTGCAGTGCAATGAGCAGAGTTGATAGCAGTGAGGATGCCTGCATGCTAGGAATATTTATTGTGACAGAAATCCTGGCTCAACATCCCTCCCATGGACATAGCTAGAGCAGCCAAGCTGCCCTTTGGATCAAAGTAAGGAAAACATCTTGCACATCTGAGGCAAGCTGTGCTGGTAAAACTTTACTTTTGCTCTCTCTTGGGGATTCTGCTCGCAAAAACAGAATAGAGGATCAAATCTCCTTCCTCTTTGAGCAACAGGGCTGTTCTCCTCAGTGTCTTTTGTATGGGCATTCCGTGATTAGGAATCATGGTGCTCTATTTTGGAGAGTTACGCCCTACTGTTTAGTGGTTTATCCATTCGAAAGCTCAACAACAAGGGCAAATGTTTATCTATCTAACCTGGAAGCTCAGTGCTGCCCCACCCACCTAATGGAAGAAATCTATGTGGCCAAAGACATGGCCCAAAATGAGAGTCAGGCCCTCAGTGAGTGATAACCAATGCAGGCAGCAGCAAAATAGGGCTGGTTTGCACTAGCTGAAGATCTAGCCCAGCTCTTAATTTGCCATCACAAAAGAACAGTCGAGTTAATAATTTTCAGCAATACATTATTCCTATAAAATCATTGCTCTTAAATAGCATGGCACTTGTAATTAGTGTAGTCATAATGTATATTTTATTGTGTCTGCATGTCTTCCTGCTTTCTTTTCTTCTGCTTAATTTCCCAAGTGTTGGATTGTTAATAACAGAGCTGCAACTAATTTTTCATGTCAGACCACTGTGCTGGACTGCAGCCTTCAACCTCTTATAAACAGATGTCACCACAGTGAATGTGTGATCGAGTGCAGGTTAAAATCATTATCATGGCTTAATGTTACATATAAAGAAAAATGCATTTTTATCTGCATTCCCCCATTATCTCTGTAATGACACCATGTTTTTTCTCTTGGGGTTGTAGTCATTGTTATTTTAAGCGCTTGTTAGTACAGCTGTGGGGAAAGACATGATCAATTTTTCATTTAGGAAAAGACACAACAGGGAATGTTAATGTCTCCATTTTAGATAGTGGGATAAAATAATAGGTATGGTTAAGGAGCAGTCTAGCAGTCAGACACAGGATTCTCAATTATGTTCCAGTGAATTAAATAAGTCATCTGCTTTACTGTCCTTCATGAATAGCTTTATTTCAGGAATTCATTAATTTGGGGGAGATGGTGTCATGGTCTAGCAGCAGTTTTGTACTGCCCTAAGCTCTCAGGAAGTCCATGCCTGTGAAACCACTGTGTATCCCGAAGGCAAAATGACATGTGCATTTTAATTTCATGCAGAGGTGGTGCCCACACACAGGCCCAGAGATGAGATTTTATCTTGAGCAGGCATTTTCCCTGTGTTTTTTAGGTTGTATGTGCACCCTGACTCCCCGTTCACAGGAGAGCAACTGCTGAAGCAGATGGTGTCCTTTGAAAAAGTCAAACTCACCAACAACGAGTTGGATCAGCATGGCCATGTGAGTAGCTCTGTGGGTGGGAAAGGGAAATTACCAAAGGAATTGCTTGCTTGTGCCACAGGGGTAAATGGGAGAGAGACTGCCATGGGGAAAGGAAAGGCTGCCATGGCCTCCACGTTACACGTCTTTTAGCCAGCTCTTCTTGTTGAGGAACACACAACTTTCAAAGTCAGGATTTTCTGCAGTATTTCATAAGGTAGAGCCTGGATCAATGGTTCAAATCATGCTCCTACTTCCATTAGAAGCAGAACATCCATCAGGGACAAGTTCAGGGTGGAGTTAAGCATCAGAGCAAGGGATAGAAGGAAGGCAGATGAGCATTTTGTTGTGCTTCTGCTTGCATTTTGCTGTGACTTGGCAGTATGTTCTGCCACGTGTCATGGCCAGCAAACCCATGTGCTTGGGTTTGTTATGTGTGCTTGGAAGCTCCCTACAGGCCACTTCAGGCCACCTGTTAGGGTTGGGTCTGTCAATAAGAGCTGTTTCACTTCCAGACTCATCACAGCATGGGCTCAGAGTCAGAAGAAAATACTGACCTGACACCAAAGCATGGTCTATAGAATTATAAAACATAAGTGTGTCTCAATTGCCCCTGAAATAACTGTAGGCTAACTACAAGTTAAGGTGCCACAGGGTGGGCTTGGGCCTCTGAAAGAGACAGGTCCCAGCTCTGACTGGTGCCAGTTTGTTGTCACAAATCCTGAGGCTGGAAGATGGTAAATAGGATTCAGAACTGCTTGCCATAGCATCCTGCTATGCTCCATCAGAGGGGACAACTCCTTTAGTTATGTGACTGCCTAGTGGCAGGCAGTAAGAATAGGTATAATCTGCCCTGTTCTCTCCCTAAAAGTGCCTGTAAAGTGCAGGAACTACTAAGTAGGGCTTCCAAATTGTAAAGAAAGAGCTAAAATTGTTGCCTCTGGGCTTAGTGATTCTCTCAGGGAAGGCAGAAGGAGCAAGGGGACAGATTGGAAAGAATTGTTGGCTGAGAACAGGGACATTCAGTTCAGAAGAATAAGCATAAACGTAGTGTTAGTAAATGAGGCTGAGAAGACAGGAATGATTTTGAATTCTAAAGCACATGTAGGGGCAACTAATTCTTTCTGCTGCATAATTGTAGAATATACAGTGCATCAGAAATCCCTTTCCTAGTGTGGTATTTATTGCTGGGACTGTGGGAGACAATGACCATTTGTCTCAGCTGTGTTCTGTGCAAATGTTTCTCACCCAAAAGAGAATTTTCACTAATATCAAGAACTGAGAATTGAACCACAGCCATGATAATTTAAAATACATCCCTAAAATAACAGTATCAAAAATAGCTGAACACCCCAAAGAAATAAACAAAAGAAAGATCAGATAGATGCCTCTGTGTTGTTCTTTTGTAGAGATCCATCTATGAGTATATTGTTCTTGAACCCAGTACCCATCTTTGTTCCTTTCAGGACTAGTGCAAAATGGTTTTCCCTTTTTTCTTTCTTTTATTTCATAATCTGTAGAAGGGCAAAGCTGAAGATTTGTGGGCTCTATCACCAAGTGATGATAGTGCAGTACACGTGAGCACTTAAAAAGAAGCATTTTTCATCATAACAGGGGCCATGTGTGTCTCTAATAAAGGGCTCGCATCAGTATATTGCAAACTAGTTAGGAGAGCTGCAGTTCCCAGAAGTCCAGAGGAGTGGGAAGAAGAAGTAGGTCTGAGGAGCTGTCGGGAACAGAGACAAGTGGCAGAGCAAGAAGATGTAATTGTCTCAAATATAGGCAGCAGGAGAAAAAGATCTGTAGTGTTTGAGCTGCAGCCTTCCCATTAATTTCCAGAGAAGCAGAGGTTAATCACATCCTTTACACAAAGGCTCTGGACAGCCAGTGATAATGGAAAGTTTTGTGTGTTCAGTTAAGGATACACCTTGAAGGCTTGATCCTGAGTTAAGATTCAAGTGACAGGTGTTACTCCTTCAAAGAGCACTCTCTTTTTAATATTTTGTGGGAATTTATGTTCCAAATTAGGATGTCAGGTTTTATGTGCTTCCTTACTGAAGCTATGTAAATGCCATCATTGGATGATCAGTAGAGTTAAGGAAGAAATCAGTCCTCTGGAGCCTTTAAGGAGGGCTCACTGTTCTATGGCTCCTGACATTTCTGAACTCGTGTGCATGAAGAGAAGAAGAGAATTGCAGCACCTTCTGAAATATCTTCCTTCAGTTTGAAAGAGCCAATCTTCACTTTTTAATTATGTTGGATAAGGCATGCTGGTTCCTGAGGAAGTTTGAATGACCCAAAAGACGCCTTTAAATACTAGTTACAGGTAGGGAAAATGGATCCAACCTGATTCCAGTTTGTTCTAGTTGCTTGCTTTCTTCACCATCCAGAAAACAGTTTTGGGTGTTAAGGCAATTGTGGTTTATTTGTAGGGTGGTTCACTTCCTGAAAAGGAATCTGTGGAGAAGAGAGACATTTATTTGTTCTAGCATATATTTGTTTTTTCTTATTCTGAGGCTTTTGGAGTTGGCAAGCATTTCTGATTGTGTACCTTCAGCAGCATGTGTAACCCCAGAGTTATGCACATATTCTCCTCAAGCCCCAGGCACAGGTCTTATCTCTGTGTGCATGGCATACAGCTCACTCCATGGAAACATTTTCAGATATCCTTACCACAGGAAGGAAATGGCTTCTATCTCTAGATTTTTACAGCCAAGCAAATAATTGCTATTTTTCTGACTGTGAAATATTTATGAATGTGACATTTTCCCCATGGTTTTTTAGTGATATTTTTCACACAGAGTGCTTTCTTTAGGACTTTTCATTGCCCTTTATTGGAGTGCCATCATTTTTTGTTTACGGTGAGGTGAGCCATGAGTGTATACATTATTGTAATTGTTTTTTGGCACTTACTCAAACACACGAATCTACGCAAAATCAAACTCAAAGCTGTGAACGGGTTTAATAAATAACTGTGAAAGCAGGGGGTGTGAAATAGCCACAAGGAGTTATGCCCAAGTTTTTTTATTCAACCAGGCAGAAGTTAGGAACCTTTGTGCTTTCAGAAAGAAAACTTTATATGGTAATGCTATTATTTGGTGAATATGAAAGTGGCATTCACAGCACAGTTCCTGAATTCAAAACCGCCTTGAAATTTTGCAGCTGGCATCCAGATTGCCTCTGGTGACTGGTCTATAGCCAGTGGGAGCCAGATGCCTACAAACCTGTCTGACCTTACAGCAATCAGGATCCTGTAAGGAGGTATCCTGACTCAGGCTGCTAGCACAAAGGTGGATGGGGTGGCTGGGGGCCTGTGGCTGCCAGCAAGTGTGTGCAAGGGGGCTGCCATGAGTATATGGGCACCTGATGTATCTCTTGGGACATGCCAGCAGGATTGTCACTGGACTGGCATAAGGGATTTTCTAATAGCTACACATACAGGAGGGGACGGCTTGGACTTTAAGGCCGCTCTTGGAGGCTACTCTGTGAGGAAATATCTTGTGGATCTAACTCCTTTGGGCTGTTTTTTATATTGTCATAACACAAGATGTTGCACAGATATTAAGAAGTGTCTTTGTGTGTCATCAGCAGCTTGTGTGGGGGTGCAGGTGGAGAACTACACATACAGACCCTCACATGAAGAAAATGGTGACGTTTACCTTGGTCATGGGTCTTTTATGACCTCCTGGCTACATTCAGAACTTGTTTTGTACATGAATGACCAGACTTGTCTCTGGTGGGAACGAGGAATATAGAGTACCATGATAAGGGATGTAATTTATGTGCACTCAGTTTTTTGGAAAACTTTCATAAGGGATTACATGGTCTTGTTTGAGAAATGTAGTTCCTTTATCACAGTTTGCATTCAGAGAGGAGTGAAAGGAAAGGGCATGTATGAGAGCTGCTCTCAGCTTTTTCCTCCTTCCTGACTGCTGCTTGCCTTGGTGTGGATATCATGGCCATGAAAGGCAATGGAAAGCACCAAGATCTGTGCAGCAACCCCTCAGTAAGCTCATTACCATCCACACACCCTGCTTTAAAATGTCTTTTCCATATGTTTAGAGCACTCCAAGTAACTAGGATGGCAAGACAAAATTTTACAAAGAGAGACAAAAATACTAAGGGTGTTAAAGGCAAGGTCCATGGTTGTATGTGTTCCTATATAAAATGGTGAAGTGCTTTGGAAAAGGACCCGAGCTGGTTAAAGCAAACATACAACACTTTCAGGATGATGGTTCACTGTCATTGTAATGTCTGTCTTGTTGCTGTGTGCCTCTCCACAAAATCCCAGTGTGAGTCTTGGCAATATTTGGCCCCAAAGAAGCAGCAAAGAAAAACACTGATGGAAATTGTAGCCATGATAGAGCTGTCTCTAAGCTCTCCACTCCAATGCAATGTGCAACCTTTCTCATTGACTTAGCATGAAATACTGCACCACTCCTGCTATGTTTCAGCTGAAATTAACACTTCCTGAGGAATGCACATTAGCTATTCCAGATGTACAGAGCAGACTGTAATGTCGTTATGGCCCCTGCAAAATAGAACCACCCACACCATTGCCAATTTTGTCTTGTGACTGTGATTATATCCAAAACAAGGGCTGGTGTGAGCTGAGCTCTGTATTTAATTCTTATATTGTAATACTGTGGTTAGAGGCCACCAAACAGGCCTCCAGCCAGCGGTAACTGAAGCAAGGGGGACTCTTGGTTTGACTCCAGTGAATGTTGAAATTGGTTGGTTAGTACCTTAGGTTTAGAATTGTTTTGGGAGCTCGTAAACAATTATTAATGAGGATAGAATAGCAAAACCTGGTCATTTGGGGGTTCAGTACTGGTTTCCCTGCTTGCTCACATTTTTGGTAGTCTGCGGTGATGAGCACCTCTGAAGCAGGTTGTTTTAAAGGTTTGCCACAGTGGAAAGCTACGTGGAGTTTTACTTTTGGTCAGACAGTTTGTGTTGCTGCTGGTAGGTTTTTGGATGGGTCTAATTTTTTCCATCTTTTTTTTTTTTTCTGAGGGATTTGTGAGTGTTTTCATTCTGCACCTGTGCATTTTCGCAAGTGGGAACTCTTGCCCATTAGCTTTCAGTAGTTACATATTCACACCTGCCAACCAGGGCACACTCTGGCAGTGACTAATTCTGTACGTAAAACACCTCACCTGTAGGAACAGGTATTTACACCTCAAGAAATGCATGTTTACCAGTGGCTTAGCAGTGAGAGGAGGCTAGCTCCTGGGACGCTGGCTTTTTCACCTTCATTTCCTGGAACTGCCCAAAGGAGCTGGAGAGTTTGCTCTGAAAACTAGCTCCTGGCTGGTTAGATTTCAGACACTTCCCCTGCAGTGTTAATTAGATCTTTCCCCCCCATTATGGTTTTATAGCCTTTGAGGGCCCTGTCAACCTTCCTCTCAGGACAGTGCTCTGACATTCTTCCTTGCAGATCATTTTGAACTCCATGCACAAGTACCAGCCAAGGGTCCACATCATTAAGAAGAAGGATCACACAGCTTCTTTGCTAAATCTGAAATCAGAAGAGTTCCGAACATTCATCTTTCCAGAGACAGTTTTTACTGCTGTTACTGCCTACCAAAATCAATTGGTGAGTTGCTAATTTCAACAGATGTAACTGCTGAAAACTTCCTCTGCCCAATCTAAACTAGGAAAATTTCTGCCTTAACCTACTTTTCCATGCCAATCTTATTCACATTCATGAGTAATTCCTGAATATATAGTAGTAGTACAGACTTCAAAGAGCTGTAAGGATTATTCATGAGAGTAAAAAATGGCAAGTAAGAGGCTTTCTTTTGTCTTCTCCTCTGTCTATACAAAGCTGCTTGCATATTAACATTTAGTCATTTTCTAATTATAGCTCATTAAAGAACCGTTCTTATTTGCCATGATCTTTCATGCCACAAGCTATGAGCTGAGAGAGATTCTAGTTTGCACCTGATGATTTCATGGGCTTAAAAAGTTGACTAATTAAGCTGTAAAGCTCAAACATAGGGAAAATCACTCAGAGATATGCTTTTCAGAGGCTGCCCAGATTACATCCAGATGTCTGAATTTCAATTTGCATGCCAGTGAATAATATATACAAAATGGAGGAGATCATAACAATGGATTGCTAATGAGTAATTTTAGGAAGTCTATAAACAATCAGAGAACAGAGGCTCTGCTTGATGGTGGATTGGCCTTTAATATTTAAGTCAGTGGAAATATGTTGTTGCCTTCAGTGTGAATCAGAGTGTCCTTTGAGGGTTCACTGACTATGGTACTTCTAAAAAAATTCACCTATTTTGCTCCTTGGTTCCCTCACGAACTAAGAATTCAGAAAAATATAGGCACTGTCCAAATATTTGAGCAGGCAGCATCACAGAGTTAATGTACCTGCTGGATTATTTAAAGAAGTAGGCATTTCCTAATATGAAGCAAAACCAATTTTGAAATGTTATGAATAAAATGAAATGAATGCATAGGGTGCCAAGAAAGCTCTGAAGATAATATTAGTAGTATTAAGTCAGTCCTTAGGACAGACCCCACATCCTGCTTTAAAGCTTTAATGTATTGATTTAGACTTAGATTTGTATCTGAATGCTGTAGAAAATGTACTCAGCACCTGGCAATCTCAAGAAAATAATGTTTGGACAGGCAGTTAGATTTTTCCATGTAACTTTCTTTAGAAACCAAAAGCAAAACCATAACAGGCACAAAAACAGCTAAACCCAGAATTTATTTCTGTAGGATGGATTTGTGTCTACCAATGATACACTAGAGATGTAAACTAACCTTCCTAAACTAACCTTTCCAAAGCACATACATTGAAGTCCTGGAAAATTTCTCAATGGAACATCTCCGGAACCCCTAGAGGTTGATGTTGTCATTTTATTTATGACTAATGAAAATGGAGCCTTTTTTCATTTTTGCCATTTCTTTCAGAACTGTTTTAAGGAGGGATTGATTACATTTCTGGAGGTTATTAGATAAAAGCTAAATACATTACACTTTCAACAAACTATCTCATAATTTAAGATTTAAAGGGCATGCATTTATTTAAACAGTCAAACCACTGCCACAGAGTTGAATTGTAGGTCAGATTTCATTTTAAAATGCTTTCTAGCAGATGTTCTCTGATTGTTTGTGAGACAGTCTCTCAGGAAAAATATGGCCATAAATGATTGTGAGCCTCATCTGGCTTTGGTGGATACTAAAATTTCTCCTGTGATGTCATACCAAAACTTTAATATCGGGAAGATGGAAGTTTGATTGGTGAAAATATGCTCAAGAGATGAATAGACATCCTTATTGTTCTGTAGTGCAGTTGGCTTGGTGTGTCGGTGATCTCAGTCAATGGAACTAGTTAGAGCTTGTCTTTTTTCAAGGTGGTTTTCAAAATGCTGCCATAAAAATCTTCACAGGATGTGAGGCACTATGCAACATCACCATGAGCTGAGGGCTTATGGATGTCTTGGAAATAGAATGAGCCCATAATCAACTTTCTGAGCTGTTTCAAGGTCCTTGTGACAAGGCTTCAAGGTTTTTTCCAGCAGTTGTACCTGAGCGATGAGACAGCCTCCAGCCCTCCACCAGCACTCACATCCATGGTGTTTGACCAGTGGCAGACCGTTAATTAAAAACTCAGAATTTCCCTTTGCCAGCATGTCCCTTCCTCTCTGTATTTTGCTCAGAAGACCTCTTTCTCAGAATTAAAAGTGGGGTCCCGTTGTCCTCTTTTTTTTAATATTTTATATAAAGATGTATTTCTCCTCTTTTTTCTTTTTTTTTATTTTGAGGAAGAAGCCACCCCATTTTGGAATATATTTATTTGATGAGACTGTTTCATTGTTTCAGGATTTGGAAAATATCCTCTTTTTTTTCCTGAGTTTTGAGCCACAGCTATTAAAAATGAGGTTGTAGCTTCCTTGATACAGGCTTTTTTTGAGGGAAGTCAGGCTGACACAGCCCCTTAATATGAAATGTTGAAGGCTGTTGATTTTCATGGGCTTAAGCTAGAGTTGGTGGCATTCACTATCCTGCAGGATGGTCCTGTGTTTTCTCTCATAAAACTCTAACTCCCACTTACAATTTTATTTTTAGCTCTTGGAAGAAGTATGGCTAGAAAATCCAAATATCACAATGATGTCTCAGATTTTATTCACCAAATCTAAATTGGTTGGATAGATAGAAAATTTCACAAGAACAAAGGTGCATTTATTTTTCCTGGTCCTCAAAGAAAAAAATTGAAAGCTACCGCCATATGCCTGAAAAGTTTCACCACAAAGGGGAGCTCAGATGTTTTGGGGCAGGAGGGATTCCTGGTCAGTGGGTTGTGCAGTCAAAATGGAAGGGATGACTGGCCAGGTTTATGGCTACCTTTGAAGAAGGGAAGAAAGTTTCTATTCATGATCTGTGTTTTTTCAAGACTGTGATAGTTTCAGTAGGGTTACTCCTTCAATCCAAGCTCTGTCACTTTAAATCTGAGTTTACGCCACATTTTTCCTTCCCTTCCTCAGCCTCTTTTCATACAAAACCAGTTAAACTGCCACTATGTGGTGGCTGGTAGGCCTAGCTGAGAACATTTTCATCCCAGAAAAACCCAAACTGGTAGGGATGTGAAGCCACAGCTCCAGGTCGCTTGAGTTTGTATTGGTTGATGTGCAGCTCCACCAAGCAGGCTCAGCTGTTAGCAGAGTCATTTGTGCTGCTTTTGGAAAAGACAACCTGACTGATGCTGGTAAAGTATTTGGAAGCTGTAAAAGCTGTAATGCTGTCATGGGTGGGCTCCTTCTGCTCTGGGTAACAGGAAGGCTTTGGTCCTTCCCCTGCCGTATGTGCAGTGCACCCTGGTTTGCCTCCTCAGCTTTTGCTGCTCAGGAGCAGTGCATACACACAGGGCACGGGGATAAAATTAGCAGCGAAGTCACAGGGGATGGATTGGTTAACACTTTGTACACTGCAGTACCCTAACACTGTATTCGTGTAATGTTGCTCTTTTCTGTGTTCCCAGATAACCAAGTTGAAAATTGACAGCAACCCTTTTGCTAAAGGATTCCGTGACTCTTCCAGACTCACTGATATCGAGAGGTAATGGGGACTTTCGGTTTACTTTCCATGCAGATAAGATAAAGAGAAGAGAGGGTTTGTAGGAAAAGCATCCTTTCAACTCCTGAGAACCTGTGCATTTTAACATTTTCTTGCTGCATATAGTAAGACTCCTCCACATCCTTTAAAAATGCTTTCAAACTTTATGAAGAAAGAGCTGTTTTGAGTTTTGACATCTGTTCCAGTTGGGGCCAATGTATTTGTCTTCCTCAGGGGGCTTCTTCATGGGGGAAGAGGGTCAGTTTTACAACTTCAGAATGAAAAGCTTTTTTCTTATCATGCCATTTAATCCTGTTGAGAGCTGTGAATTGAGTCAATGGGAAACAAGGGCAGTGGTCCTGTGAAAAACATCTTTACAGCTCCCGACTGCTCAACATAGTGGAAAAGAGAGAGGAGAGCTCCCAAAATTCACTTCAGCAGTCCCAGACATCAAATTATTAATTACTGCCATCAGGATGACTCCCATAACTCCCACTCTGACAACAAAGATGCCATTTTTGTTTCACCAAAGTTCTATTACAAGCTGCATCAGGGGAAAGCTTTATCTGGAAACTGTTTTGTATATGTACAGCTTATTACAAGCAACTGCTGCCATAGAAAGAGAAGAATTAACCCAGAGCTGAGTTAGGAAATAAACTTCAATCTCTTGGTAGCTTTCCAGCATGTCACATTTTTATGTGTCAAATAACTTGGCAAATGAAGCAAATTAAGCTGCTCGTGTCCTTTAAGCTGGAAGAGAACTCGATGGAGATGGATATAGCACATCCAGTTTTTCCTATGAGCACACAATCATGAAAGAAAGTTTGGAGAGGTCAAAACCCTCCAGGCTCCTATATGGAGATATCCAGATGTATCTGTGAATCATTTTTCACAGGTGCATACAGGGGACAAACTGCTCAATTAAGTCATAACCACAGAGCTAGAGAGCCTCTATAGCACTTCAAAAGTACACCTATCTAAGCAGGCCTATGGATGGGAAATAGTTGTATCCTTTGCATCTTACTAGTGACTGGATCATAAGTGATCTCTTGTAAATGGGTAAAAGAACAGTAGTATGGGGAAAGAAAGCTTGTAGGCAGCAGTGCACATTTGCAAAGTTGTTGAAAATTGTTTCTTAAGCGAAAGCCTTATTGAAAATGAAAACAAAAAAAGAGGTAAATTTAATAAAATAGCATGGCCTGCTGTATTGACAGAATACTGAGGTAAACAACATCCAAAGCTCAGGTTAATATGCAATAAATAGTCAAAGAAGGACCTGTCAGAAGAGGTTTCCTTGTTTTACAGACAGGAGACATCTAACCACACGGCTTTGCAAGGGTGGAAAGAGTCTGAACAGATAAGCTGGGAGAAAAACTTAGTTACCTCTGTGCTGGACGAACTGACTATCGTGGTGCTGGATATGAAGGGAATTTTTCCAGAGGACATCTTATTATAACAGCACATGGCATGGAGTCAGAAATGCTGAGCATAAGCTGCAGTGCCCTTTTGTTTATTGATAAGTATAAGAATGGAGCCTGAGACAGGCAGCCGAGCTCAGGCAAAAATGTTGCCATGAAAGATAAGGCAGACAAACGTGAAGCCTACAATAAATGCAAGAAACAGAATATGAAAAGTATTAAACTTACATTAAAACTCTGGATTTGAGAGCCCAAGTTTGGGTCAGATCTGATTTTGAATTAAATTAGAAAGCTTAGCCCTGATTACTATTGCAATAGTTTTTAAAATTCAAAACCTTCTTCACAACATATCAAGTCATGAGATGACAAAAGTGTAACATGCAAGTGGGCTGGTGAGAGATTGTTTGAGAATTGCCTAAGTTATAAAAATGGTGCAGAAATATCAAAGGGTTTATTTGATTCTGCTGTTAAAATACTCAGGCATAGGAGGACATAATTCTCTAAATGCCCACTGGTTCTATAGATTTCATCTTAGCACCAGCAAAATAACTTAAAGAAATCTGAAACAAAGCAAAGGAAATAGCAAAGGGAGATATGACAGCAGGAAGTATTTCTTATTTGATGTCGATTGCAACTTTAATTGCAAATAGGTGAATCTTGAATAGTACAGCATGACTCTTGCTCAGTCTAATTGGCAACTATAAGATCACTGCTGGAGAAAAATACTTATTTTCCAGGGAAAAAACTGTGAAGGCCAAAACACACTTGCACAGTTCTTGAAAATGGAATAGTTCTCTAGAAAATGTGGAAATACTTTCCCTGCACTGCTCCCTCAGCAGGCGTACACTCAGCACGTATGTGTGTAATCTACAGTGCGGCATGGTGATCTTAATGGCCTCCCGCAAAGCATCCCATGATGCTGGGTCCAAGACAGCACTCATTTATCCTGAGTTCCAGCTTTGCCAAATGACCTAAGTAGTGTGAAAGCACACAGAGCTTTGTATTTCATTTCCAAGTATTTAAGCCTGCTTTTTCCTAAACAGCCTTTGGGGAGGGAAACAAATCAGATCAATTGATCTTTAGAGACCTAAAGAAATTAAATTAGTCTGGAGTCAGTTACTGCACTAAACCATCCAGTAATTGGATTGCTTCTTGTAACTGATTGAAAACAGCCTCTATCTGTAACAATATAGGGAGCTTTTCTTTATAGTAGATCTGAGAGAAAAACACATCTTTTTATGACATGATGACAGAAATTGCACTTTTTTAACCTAATTGAATATGATTTTATAAATATGTGACTTTAACGATTTCAGGCTTCTCATTCTAGATTTACGATCCTTATGTAAGAAATTCAAGCTGCAAATGCCTTTAGGATTAAATCTGTTGGCATTGCATCTGTTGGAGTTGAAATAATATATGTAAAGATAGTGAAATTTGCAGTAGAGACGGTAGGAAGCAGCAAAACTTTGAATGCTCTGTGTTTTCTCTTTTCTCACTGTCTAAATATCATGGAATGGTTGCCTTGTACTCAGAGCTAAATGCAAGGCTTTTAAGTATTGAAAAAATCTTTGGTGGGTTTGGTATATACTGAATTTTTTGTAGGATGCAAGGTTCCTTTTACAATCAACCCTTTCCCTACATTACTTGTGGTAATCTATTTATAGCAATGGGGCAGACTTTATCTGGGGCTACTGTGATTTAGATAAGTCTGACTCACCTTTTGATCTTTTTACATGGTATTTACGTCTCCTCTACTATAAAAAGGCTCCCACAGTGGTTGTGAACGAAAAAATGGAACATTTAGTAGCAATTACCAGAATGTGGAGCTGTGTTGTGGACTATGGAATGCCAGATGGAGTATTAAGGCATTTCTGCTGACAAAAAAACTGCCAGAGGCATAAAGGATGCAGAGACAGAACTCAACAGATGAATTCTTTTCATCCTGAGTCTGAATTTATCTTTTGATTTGTTGTGAAGAATTAGCCTGTTAAAAATAAATAGATAAATAAAACCATCATGATTATGTACCATTCAAAAAATCCAATGAAAAAGGTGATAATTTCAGGAGCTGGAGCCAAGTATGCATTGGGCAAATGTGGGGTGTGAATTTTTAACTATTAAGGAGAGAGTTAAATGAGTATACCCATCTGCACAAGTCCAATAATGCTTCTGGGATACTTCAAGAGGAAATGTGGAAAAGTGTGGTTGCACATCCAAGTAATTTTTAGGCAGAGAAGGGAAGGATGGGGGGATGGAGAAGTTAGAGAGCAGATCCCAATTGGATTTGCATGGTAATAAAATTCCAGATTTTCCCCTGAGGAGCTTCATCTCTGAGATGTGGAAATACACCATGCTGGCTTACAAGTCTATAAGCAAAGCTCATGCTAATGGCTGGATTAGGGGCACTTGCCTGCTGAAGGATCAGTCAAAGCCACGTGCTCAGTGATGAGCTGAGTGCAGCCATCCTCTCTGCCATCCCTTCCCTGCTCACCCTACAGAGCTGCCTTCTGCCCCATTCCTATTTTCTACTGCTGGTCTAGAAGAACTTCCCATACTCTTGAAAGCCCCCTACCAGCAGCCAGAAATACATGCATGCTCTATGACCTGCCCCCACATCCATGGTTTAGTTGGACTTTGCATAGTTCACCAATTAGTCAAACTGCCAGCTGATCTTTTATTCTCAGCTAGTTGTCAGTCTGTGAATGTCAGTAACCAGCCATGAGATATCATCTCTGATGTTTAGGTTGAGAGAAGAAAAGAAGTCCGAATTTAGGAAGAAATACCAAGGATTCTGGCATCTAAACTCCTGGTATCTAGTGCCATTCCAGATGTTGCTGGGGTTACCCCAGCCTTTAGCTGCTACTCCAGATGGGTGGGTGGATTGTCTGTATTTTCTGCATTATCCCTTCCAGAACACTCCAGGGGGCTTGGATGCCTTAGCAAATCTTGAAAGCACTATCTGCCTATGCTTAAACACCTGAATTATTCCCTTCAAATTTGATTCATCTGACTTGGCTTGTTGTTAGCCAGGCAACTGCTCCTTTTCACCCAGCAGAAAGCCCCCTGTGCCACTTAAATCCTCTTCAGTTCACAAGTTTTTAAGCATTCATACTCTGGCTCATTTTCCACTTAGGTTTTCTGTTCTCTATCTTCTTACTTGTGCAAAATAGTATAAATAGTATATTATTCTAGTTGTTTCCACTCACCTCACGCAGATGTAGTGTGTGCATAACAGGTGGGGATGATGTCAAATTAGATCTATGGTTTCCACCCCAGAGAAAGTTTTCCAGGGAATTCTCCCAACAACTTCACAGGACTTTTCTGTACTCACCTGTCATCATTTGGTTGCAGTCAGAATGAAATGGTTACTCTACTGGGTGAAGTGGAACTCCATGGGGCTGGCTATGTAAGATAGTTTTCTCATTTTTATTTGCAGTTGAGACAAGTGGGGTGAGTATATTGATAGCTTCATGCCCCTTCATAAATGTCATTACTTTTCCCATGCCATGGCTTCAGCCGGGCTTTGTCACATCCATGCATATTACAGCTCATTTATATGTCCTGCATTTTTACTGAGAGGGTGACAGTAAGCATAATTGTGAGGTACACGTGTTCTTCTACTGTCATCAAACTCTGGATTTTTTATAATTTAAGACTCATTTTCCTTCTTTCTTGTATATATTCTTGCAGTAATGCATCCATCCAACACTTGCCCAGCAATTTTGACCTTGTGTGAAAATGT